CATGTCTCGATCTCAATCGTGATGAATTTTTCATTCGTTGTCAGATCGAGGGGCGGAGTGTAATTGCAAAATCAATATTTTCCTATACAAATTTACCATTTTAAACATGTTTTAAGTTTCTTTGTGTGAAAAGATGGCTATGTATATTAAGAAAAAAAAAAAAGGCAAAATATAAGCCCCGCCCACCCGCCCTGTCTCAATTCCGATGATTTTTTTTACCCGTCGTAGGCCGAGGAGCGGCCCTTAATTATAAAATCGTTATTTTTCTTCGAAAATTACCATGGGAAATATGTTCTTAACTAAACTAAATATATTAATTAAAAAAGAAAATCAAAAGAAAAGCCCCACCCATTTGTCGCGATTTCAATCGTGATTAATTTTTCATTCGTTTTGACATCGAGGGGCGGAGCGTAATGACAAAATCGATATTCTCCTATATACAGATTTACCATTTTAAACATGCTTTAAGTTTCTTTTTGTGAAAAGATGGCTACGTATATTAAGAAAAAAAAGGCAAAATATAAGCCCCGCCCACCCGCCCTGTCTCAATTCTGATGATTTTTTTTATCCGTCGGAAGCCGAGGGGCGGAACTTAATTATAAAATCCTTATTTTTCTACGAGAAATTACCTTGTGTTAAGTAATCGTGTTATACAAAGAAAACTAAATGTATTAATAAAAAAAAGAAAACCAAAAGAAAAGCCCCACCCATTCGTCTCGATCTCAATCGTGATGAATTTTTCATTCGTTGTCAGATCGAGGGGACTAGCGTAATGACAAAATCGATATTTTCCTATATACAAATTTACCATTTTAAACTTGCTTTAAGTTTCTTGTTGTGAAAAGATGGCTACGTATATTAAGAAAAAAAAAGGCAAAATATAAGCCCGGCCCACCCGCCCTATTTCAAATCTGATAATTTTTTTTATCCGTCGTAAGCCGAGGGGCGGAGCTTAATTATAAAATCCTTATTTTTCTACAAGAAATTACCATGTGAAATACATATATTCTTAACTAATCGAGCTATACAAAGACAACTAAATGTATTAACTAAAAAAGAAAACCAAAAGAAAAGGCCCTTGCATTCGTCTCCTCAATCGTGATGAATTTTTCATTCGTTTTCAAATCGAGGGGCGGGGCGTAATGGCAAAATCGATGTTTTCCTATACAAATTTACCATTTTGAACCTATTTTAGATTTCTTGTTTTGAAAAGATGGCTATGTATATTAAGAAAAAAAAAAGGCAAAATATAAGCCCCACCCAGCCACTCTATCTCAATTCTGATGATTTTTTTTTATTCGTCATAAGGCGAGGGGCGGAGCTTAATTGTAAAATCCTATTTTTCCACGAGAAATTACCATTTGAAATAAATAAATTCGAAACCAAACTCAACTAAAATTTTATGATTTTAGATTTTTTGCCGGCGATGGTACCATTCGATGGTAGATTATTTCGAAGCAAAATCAGGCGCGGATACAAGATTTCGTTCAGGGGGGGGGCAATTTTTGTGTGATTTTACCTATCTACCAGAAATTCGTTCTAAACAAAAAAAAATATAAAATTTTAGCTAGTATACTCTTTTTCACATCACATGGGTGACATTTGGTTCTTTTCATTACACGTATAGTGTACAGTAGAACCTCTATAGTCCTAATTTCTAATTGGGAAAAACGGATTAACGATTTGTTCGGATCAGCAATTTTCGCAAAAATCTGAAAGGGAATTGAATAACAACTTCATACACAACTGAAAACAAACTTCAAGAAATAAACCTAAATTTTATTAAACAAAAATTAAAGAATTCTTAAGCAACAATGGATAATAGATACATTGTAAAAAAATATTACTCCGTGACCATAAACATGCTATCTTTTTGGAATAAACACCCCGGGATTTATACCCTGAAATTTTTCAGAATTTTTAGATGAATTTTTCAAAAATGAAATTTTCCATTATGTATTCGTATTACCTCCATTATGCAAATTTCGACCCATTCTCGACGATTTTCGAAATTTAACTAAATATATTTTCTTGTAGATTTTGGACCTCAGAAGTCACTTCTGGCTTCATTTTCCGAAAATATTGCTCCGTTACCATAAACATGGTATATTTTTGGAATCAGCACGTCGGGATATATATCCCTGAATTTTTTCAGAATTTTTAGGAAAATTTTTCAAAAATGAAATTTTTCCCATGCAAATTTCGACCCATTTTCGACGATTTTCGAAATTTAAACAAATACTTTCTCGTGTAGATTTCGGGTCTCCGATAACTTCATCCGTTTCTCCAGAATTAGTTAATTCATTTAGTGCTTTGAAATATCGCAATTTTTAAAAATTTCAAAATATTCCATACAACATAAGCAGAAAGATCTTGCGTCATTTTTGGAAGTAGATGCATGTTTTCAAGTTCAGTTCGGATTGCAGAGTTTTTGTTCGGATTAAAGAGGCATCGACTTCAAATAGCCTCTGTTCGGATTACTAGATGTTGAGACAATCGTGAGTTCGGATTATAGAGGTTGTACTGTATTTACAAAATGAAATATGATTTAAAAATTTTGAAATTGGTCAAAATAAAGTACCTCGGTCGTGTGTCGGGGTTGCACCCATTGCCCCCCCCCCCCCCTGGATCCGCGCCTGAGCAAAATGCAGTAATGTTCTTGTACACCAGAGATCTGAGTATCTACTAAGACAATGGCAAAACACAGAAAACCCTCTCTCAAAGGCTTAATTCATTTTTTTATTAATTTGTGTATATGGTTTAAAAAAATTACTAGGACGTGGTTGATACATTTCTGCCAATCATATACCTAGAGATTTATTACTTTGGGCCTTGAACAAGCTTCAAACAAAATTGTTGCCAAAGAGTACTGTGAGGATACAATTACGTTATGTTTAGTTTTATATTGCAGATTTTTTTTGTTATTAGTTGATTTTTTGTATCTTTCGGATTGCTTATATCTTAGGTGAAATGTTGTGAGCGAATGATTGCATTTTCCATTGCAACGGCACTTGCGATATCGCAACTTCAACTTGAAATTGGCCCATGTTCATAACAGAATGAATTTTTCTGAGAAAACCCCGAGATTAATCACTATGTCACAAAACGAAAAGAACTGTTTCCACCGACTGTTTTAAAAATAGGTTGCTTAACTGGTTTTCATACGTCAAAAATGCATAATTTTTGTCGACTTCATTTGTAGATGCGTCAGAAATACGTTTGTAAATATGTACTTGTAAAAGGAATCATAGCAACGGACTTTAAACATGACATGCGTATTCCCAACCAGTGCTCCTAGTCTATTTGATTTATTGAAGAAATTTGCGTAAACCAAAAAAAAAACAAGTTGTAGGAAAGAAAAATATAAAAACGAAAATAATAGTTCTGACGGATCTGGTTGCACAAGTACCGGAAAGTTGGCTATCGTTCTAATAAACTTAAATAGTTAAGGCAATTGCGATTGAAACGGAATAAGGAATTTATTAATCACTGAAATTCAAAGTTCAGTTATACGCAGAATAGTCAAATTCCGCAGTCATAGAAATATTTTCTGTGTAACAAGACCCAAAAATTTTCGAGCAGCAGTTTATACTTCTTTTTTCACGCCAAGTTCATGAATAAAAATCTTAATTTTGGGTTCTTTATTTTCTGGAATTCTATTTAATAATGATAAAATAATAATTGAAATTTGCGTCCCCGTGTTTCTAACTTTCGGAACAAGGAGAAAATACCCCAATTTTCCAGAAGTAAACGGTATTTTCCCTTTTTTTGTACCTGACCCTTTATCTAAAAGGAAGATGTGATTTTTATTGTTAGTTCATAGCTTCTGCGTACATAATAGAAAGTTACGGTGATTTTGGTCACAAGTTTTTTACGTCAGTTAATCATCGTATTTCAATTAGTTTGACTTCCGATAATCTAACTCAATTGCAGTAGGTACATATTTCTGCCATTGCAAATTAGCCACTTTGTACTACTAACACGCACATGAACATTGAGTTATGCAAGTCTATACATTAGAATAATGTTAAAGCATTACCCGTGCAACTGACGAAAAAATTGTAAGGTTGAATTGTGAAAGGACGTTATAAGCAAATAGAAAATTATCGGCGTTTAGTAGATGATTTCTGTTTCAATTATTGGTGAAGCAGTACCATGGAATTGGTAAATGTAAATTGCCGGATTTGACTGACAATTGAAATATCGAGAATAAAAACAAACGGGTATTGTTTTATCCAAAACAAGCTTTTTCAGTTACCGAATAAAACAATTTTTATTCTTGTGTCGATCCATATAATAACGCGTTACTAATTTATAAAGCAATTGCTATAATTAAGCCGGGTTAATATAGCTGAGCTTCATAATGATTGATTCTAGTAATTACCTAATCGATAAGCCTCCATCACTCCGTATTGAAATTTGTTCACTCCGCTTTGGAAACTTTTTCTCTCTTGTATCCGCTTCCGTTGACCCGAACCTAATAGAATGCTAACTGGTCAATGAAAAATTCCTAAGTCTGAAACGACGGCGTCTAGTCGGATAATTGCCAACAAGGCGAAGCAAGAGCTGTTGCCTAGACGACGTCGCCCAATAGTCACCACCTGACAGAGGGATTACAAATTCCAATTAAATCACTCGCAGAGGTCTCCTCCATCCATCGCTGGGTGAAAAGGAAACGGCCGGTTTATTTCAATTGACCTCTGTGATTAAATCAATTAACCGCCGCTGTAAATAAACGTCTGCTTATCGTAAATTCCACTGATCCAGTACTTAATGAGGTCGCGTAATGAAAGAAAAAGTTGAAAGCATGAGTCATCACCCAGACCCGGCGTCGAGACGCTCAAAATAACACAAAAGCTCTTCAGACGCGCCGCTGTAAGCCTAAAAATTTCGCGTCAAGTTTATACCGTCCGCGTTTATGTGTCCGTCGTGGATGTCACCAAAAGTATAGCCGCACCTTACACATAATAGTTATACTAATAATGCGTTTCCTGTTTCAGCCAAAAAGCAGAACGGTTCTGCGTTCAGAACGAACAGTTTGGGCAGCGGGACGAGGACGCCGCCGCTGGAAAGGAAAAGCAAGTTTTCGATAGGCAAGCTACTGAGGCCCTGGAAATGGAAAAGAAAAAAGAAATCGGATAAACTCGAAGCCGTTTCCCGGAGTGAGTAATTTCATCGACTCTTTGATTTCATTTCTCTGATGGTCGTTTCGTAATAGCGTTAGAAAGAAAAATATCAGTCCGAGCCAACAGGGATGAACTGGTCCAGAAAGGCATCCTTTTGCCAGATAGCCCTTTATCTCCACCCATATCCGAGCCAGGTGAGTTCGCTGTTTTATCGGCGGCGCGTGGCGCTCTCTGCCGGCGCGAGTCGCGGACTCGCGGGTTGAACTCTGTACTAAGAGACGCTGTTACAGGTGAAACCGTACCGTCGCCATTCCCTCCGAGCGGGTTTCAGCAAGTTTCGGAGAAACAGATGCCCCAAGGACCACCGCCCGCGTATCCAACACTACCACAGATGCCGCACATGCCCATAAACCCGGCCCTGCTGCAGCAGCAACTCCTCCAAAATCCTCATTTCGCACAAGCGAACGCCAATAACAATATTACCGGTAAGTGGACCTTTTTACAGAAACCTGTACGGCCAGCGCTTTCTATCTAGTGAGTAAGAATTCACTACTGTCTCCAGTTTCGCTGTATGGATAGAATGTATGTTTTATTTTATAAGAAGGAATTTAGATAGTTCTAAATGTTCTTCTACCTAATAGCCATCATCATTATCCCATTAGGTATAAATACCTTCTCAAGTTAAGTAGTTTTTTCAGCTATTAAAAGAAAACATGCGTCACGTACGCTTGTACGTTTTGATTTAGATTTTTTTTTCATCTATTATTTAAGTAGTAAAAATGACCCTTCAGTTGCCATACTGCTTTTTTTATAATGTACAGTCTATATATTTTTGTTTAAGCAACCTTCTTAATGACACTAAGTAATTTTAAATTTATAAGCTGATTACAATGTGAAAACGAAGTGTGGCATATACCAGCCTTGGATTAAGAGAGGCCCGTTAAGTTTTCAAGTGTTTATGAACCCATTTTAACAAAGTGGTCCTAAATTTCAAGTCAGTTGAAAATATGTTGATAATCCCATAAGAGCTCTAAGATATCGTACCAGAAGGTGTGCTCAAAATGTCTGTAGCTTCATTTCAGTGAGATTTTTAGTTAGGTTAGGACTAGTTTGGGTTTTATAAATAATACGCGTTTGTTTTTCATTTTAGAATTAGATTATTTTTTTGGTTTTCTAATAGAGTTTTTAAACCACGCAAATAACGTCACAGCAGTTCGTTAAAAGCGGAAAGGCGTTCTTTAATAGATCTGGGGTAATTTAGAACGGTAAGATTGGTAGCCATGACGAGAAATGTCAGGTGAATGTCAGTGGCAAATGTCAAATTAAAATTTCCCATATTTCCGGAGGCGTAAGGACTTCACTAACTTCTTCACAAGACATTTTAACCAATTTTAACTTACAAAAACTCGAATTGATTCGAATTACAGTTGTTGTGAAAATTCGAACCTCAAATATTTCGTGGTTAGACCAACCCATCACCAACCACGACAAAATACCCCAGATTTAAAAAAATGGAAATTTGAATTAAATTTTGCGAAAAACCGTGCGCGGTAGAAAAAATAGTATAAATAACTCGTTCATAAGGCCATTGTGGCACTCACCCTTTATATAACTCGCGGCTTCGCCGCTCGTTCTATAAACTTAGGTTTGTGGCTCATTATTTGCCTTATGAAACTAGTTCTTTAATATACTATTTCAGATTGACAATTGACATAACGAATCGCTAAAAAATTGTTAAAACGCCACATTGAAACAAACACTTTTGTTGCCTTGGTGGTTACCAGGCCATATAAAAATGAAAATAAGAAAATTGTGATTATAGAGCAAGATCCCAGGGCCTCCAGACGTTACTTATTTTCTCACAAATTAAATATATAGGATAAAGTACCTTAAGTGTATGCATACCTGCTAGCTTGGGCCGACCACCAATTTACAGGTACCAGGTGCTAAAGGTAGGTAGAAACAGTACTTACATTTCTCAAAGTTTTAGTGCTGATTTTTACGGTTGTTTTAGAAAATATTTGTTAAAAATTAATAATTAATACTGCCAGACTTTTACCAGACGCTTAAAGTTCCCAAAAAAAATGTAACTTCACTAATAATCTCAGTCTTCATTTTTATATATGATACTCACGGAACTATTTCAGTAATTTTTGTAAGCAGCAAGAACAATCGAAGGGGCCAAACATTCCCCCAGACCCACAAAGAGTCGCTTTGTGTATGAGCGCATGCGCAAGGTCATTATTCGTCCGCTTGAGCCATTGAGCGGGAGAGAGATATTTGTGAGGATTTTTTCCTTTACTTTCCCTCAAAGTAGGGATGAGCAAATTCGGTCATCACTACGAACGGATCCTTCATTTTTTCTTAATATACGAAGTTTTCTTTTCCCAACAAGAAACTGAAAACATGGTTAACTATCCTGTTCTTAAAAGAAAACTCTATATATTAAAAAAAAACAAAGATTAAGCCCCACCCACCCACCCCAATCTCAAATGTAATGAATTTCATATGGTAATTTCTTGTAGACAAATGAGGATTTTGCAAATAAATTCCTCCCTTCATCTCACGATGAATAAAACATTCATCACAATTGAGAAGGGGTGGGTGGGTGGTGCTTGTATTTTGTCCATTTTTTCTTAATATACCAAGTCTTCTTTTCCTAAAAAGAAACTGAAAACATGGTTAACTATTCTGTTGTTGAAAGAAAACTCTACTTATTATTTGTATGAAAGGTTCTCGAACAAAGTAAAGAATTCCATACATGGAGGTATCGAAAAATTAATATACTGGTGAAGTTGTTTGAAAATTCACTGAAAATTCTGGGAAATAGAAGAATATTATTTTGAATTAAAATTTTTACAAGATTCCAAGGTTGGCCATTTTTTATTTTGACGACTCTAGGAATATTCCACGAATTTCGGAAGAAACGACACCGAAAACAATTTCTGGAGGTCGAAATCAACAAAAAAAAGTCTTCGTAATTTTTCAAAGTGTTCGAGCAAAATCAAAAATTTCGTACGAGAGGTACAGGAAAATTAAGATTTTAGTGAAGTTGCCTAAAAATGCACTAAGTTTTGATATATAGAAAATCTCCACGAACTAAAACTAAAACTGCTAAGAGTGATTTTGGCAAATGATATACCCTCTAACGCTAGGGTGGGCGGGGCTACTTCTTGCTAAGACAAGACTGATTTTGACGAATGATACCTTCTAAGAAAATAGAAGATACACCCTCTCTTGTCTTCGAGGGTATGTTATTCGCCAAAATCAGTACTACCTTAATAAGTACTAGCTCCGCCCACCCGTCCTTTATTTTATTATAGCCTATTTCATGTGATAAAATAAGTCTTGTATTAGTAAATATTTGCTCCGCCCACCCGCCCTCAAGAAAATAAAGAACGGGTGGGCAGGGTTAGTGCTTGCTAAGATACGACTGATTTTGGCAAATCAAACACCCTCTAAGAAAATAGAGGGCGGGTGGACCGGACTAGTACTTGCTAAGATAAGATTTGCCAAAATCAGTCTTATCTTAGTAAGTACTAGCCCCGCTCACCCACCCTGTCTTTTGTTCCAGAGTATGTTATGTGCCAAGATCATATTACCGTAACAAATATTAGCAAAAAACTTGTTTGGTAAGTTTATAAAGTATTCGGGAAATGGTAAAAAATTTCGTACGATAGGTACTCAAAAAAATATCGTTAGGGTGTTGATGATTCCGGATCAGAATTTTTGAAATATACTGTTCCCAATTCAACCTTTTACGATATTCTAAAAACTGTCAAATGTTATTTTGGGGATTCTGACATAATTCCAGGAATTTAGGGATAAAAAGTAACGACGAACAACTTCTGGTGGTCGAAATCAACATAAGATTTTTTTTAAGTAGCTATCGAAGGTGCTCGAAGGGAACGAAAAATTCCGTACATGGAGGTATCGAAAAATTAAATTTTTTCGAAGTTAGCTAAAAGTTTTGGGATATAGAAAGATATACCCTCTAAGGAAAGAGAGGGTGGGTGGGCGGGGCTAGTACCTGCTAAGATAAGAGTGATTTTGGCAGATGACATACCTTCTAAGAAAATAACGGGTGGGTGGGCGGGGCTACTACTTGCTAAGGCAAGACTGATTTTGGCTAAGAAAATAGAAGATACACCTTTTGCCATTTGCCTAAAATTTAGTGAGCACTAGCCCCACCTACTAAGTACTTGTCCCGCCCACCCACCCTTTATTCTCTGAGAGGGTATGTCATCAACCATAGTCAGGCGTATCTTAGGAAGTACTAGCATTTGAAAAATTCAGTCTTGTCTTAGTAAATACTAGCTCCGCCTACCCACCCTCAAGAAAATAAAAGAGAGGTGGGCAGGATTAGTGCTTGCTAAGATACGACTGATTTCGGCAATTGAAACAGCCTCTAAGAAAATAGAGGGCGGGTGGGCGGGCCTATTACTTGCTAAGATAAGATTCATTTTGGCAGATGATACATTCTAAAAAAATAGAAACGTGTATCATTGGCCGAAATCAGTCTTATCTTAGTAAATACCAGTCTCGCCCACGCGCCCTCCGTTTTCTTATAGGTTATATTATTTGAAAAAGTCAGACTTATCTTAGTAAATACTACGATGATGGTCTCGGACCAAAGTTTTCGAAGGATTCGGTTTCAAATTTAAATTTAAAAAAACAACGAAGATTAAGCCCCACCCACCCACCCCAATCTCAATTGTGATGAATTTCATATGGTAATTCCTTGCAGAGAAATGAGGATTTTGCAATTAAACTCCGCCCTTCAGCTAACGATGCATAAAGCATTCATCACAATTGAGAAGGGGTGGGTGGGCGGGGCTTGCACTTGGTCCATTTTTTCTTATATACCAAGTCTTCTTTTTCCAAGAAGGAAAACATGGTTAACTATCCTGTTGTTGAAAGAAAACTCTATATATTAAAAAAAAAAACAAGGATTAAGTCCCACCCAGCCGCCCCCATCTCAATTGTGATGGTTTTCATATGGTAATTTCTTGTAGAGAAATGAGGATTTTGCAACTAAATTCCACCCTTCAGCTCACGATGAATAAAACATTCTTCAGAAGGGGTGGGTGGGCGGGGATTATATTTGGCCATTTTTTCGTAATACCAATATTGGATTGATGATGAGTCATCAAACTTCAATGATGATGACAATGAAGATTGAAAAAAAATGACATGATGAATAATAATGATTAATATTTAAATGAATTATTTTGAAATTTGGTATTAATAAATTTATTGTTTTTTTTTTCTTATCGTAGCATGCAAATAAACTACTATTTTATTAAAGTAATTAAATTACTGTCTAAACCATAAATCTCTCGAGTACATCCAATAAAAAATATTTTTCATAACTCAACAACGGTTTGTTCAAAATTTTCATGATGAGTTCAAATGAATTCATATTTAATTGTTATATAATTATCGTTATAATTAAGGGTGAAAATTTTACTTAATTATTACTGAA